CTTTGAGTTTTCGTTTTCAGTAGAGTGCGTTAGTTGTACGTCTAAAATTTAAGAAATAATTAACAACTTCAAGAATTGTGCTTTTTCTACAGTTCATTCTCGTGACAATTTTTAGCACTCACAAAGTAAATTTATAATTGTCTTAAGAAATCTGGAAAAATCAATGGCAAAGGTAAGTTGTCATTTTAGGTATTTGCTGCTTCCATTTCATTTCTTAACTTTGCTCACCTTTTATCGACTGTTGGAGGTATGGAATCTAAAGCAATTGGAAGTTAATTAATTAAATTTGTTGCTTTTACTCTTACTTATCTGCAAATTTCAAGATTTTATCGTTTATAAACGTATAACTTCAAATTCCTTTGCTCTAGCTATTAATGCCGTACACCGCACTCTGTCGAATTATGTCTGATATTTAATTCATATATCTGTGCGATAACCAAATAATAATGTGATAGTATTCTTCTATTGCCGTCTGATGTTTATGGTAATGTAATCCCAAAAAAATGAAGATTAGGCAGAAAATGAAGAGTACATGACTTAATAATATTTAAAAAATATTTCTTCCTGTTACAAATTTCCGTAAATGTGCAGAGTTTTAAAAAAATATGAAAGCAGAATTAGTCATTTAAAGTACTTTTAAGCATGCTAATCTTCTTTTTGGTTTTTTGGGACATTGAGAAAAAATAGTTTGTGAAGTAGAAAGAAATCTGATGTTAATGATAGAACTTATCTGTTTTACATGTTAGTAGTTTTGGTGAGGAACGAAGTGTGGATTATACTGAGACTTGTACGATTGAAATTGAATTTGAAGTTTGTTTGTTGGCATTATTTCGGTTGTCATTATGAGAAATAGATGTGATGTTAATTTGATTGAAAATCAGTAATTAAACTATTTAACTTCTTACACTTTAGACATATGTATTGCAAGTTATTGCTAATGAGCTGATTAATGCAAATGAACTGATTGCATTGAGAAATAATCACTTATACCGTTGATCTGCTACTTTGAAATCTTGGAAGGTACCATAATTTATAAATGAATATAGTTTAAGTAACATAATTTATGAATATATTGAAGAATTTAATACTGATTTTAGATTAGAAATTTTTAATTTATAAAATTATCTATGAATTGTGATACGAGATGGAGCATAGCTGTAAGGAAAAAGCATGTCGCTATGAGACACATTTGCTAGAGAGAGATGAGCATACTTTTATCTGGTTACTTGTTGATGATATTCTCCTTCCAAATGCATAATTTTCCAGAGTCTTCCCTCAGGCATTCATTTTTAGTCTTTTTTTACTTTGCATATGCATTTTGATATAGCACTCCACACATACTGCCATTTCCATGCATTGCCAAGTATCTCAATTATAAGCACTGTCAACTCGATAAGAAAAAAAGCAATGTGACATTGAAATTAGGGAAATGCTTCCTGTCATAGATAACGTAAAACATTTACTTTACTTATCGGATTTCATTTTTCTATTGTTACTCCCTTTTCCGAATGCTGTATTTATCGCTGCTCCATATGTAAAGTTAGGTTTGAATGAAGTTCATGTAAAGAGTTTGAATCAAATTCATGTAAAGATGGTTAAGAAAAGTATGAAGTAATAGAGAGATATGCCTTACTGTATCAAACAATGTCCTAACAGGATAGATTCTGATGACCGCTTTACTCTCCATGAGACCGTTACTTTATGAAAAGAATTTGTAATGCACTGAATTTTTGCTGTTCCAGTATATGTTTGTATGTGAAGATCTGTTTGTCAAACTGCATCTATTCGTAAGGTATAAATGTTTGTCGGTAAGTGTATGAAATGTGAATTGTATATACCTGTCCAAATTTGTCTGCGTTTGTGACACTGAGTAAACAAAATTGTTTCGTTTCAATCCTGTCATTTCCCTGTATTAAAGTAGGCGTAGCTATCTCTGGGTGAGCGAGCGCGAAGGCCTCTTTGTATGTGCACTGTAGTCGAGGTCAGTGTTAAATGTCAGGACGAGGGTACTCCTCTGTTGACCACTACTCGATATCGTTGCTTCATATCCTTCTATTATTGATTTCACGACGTGCTCTATAGGTCATATATCAACAACAACAGTTTTTTAAGTTTCGAAAGCATTTGAGTATTTAGCATTCATTAATATATATGTTTTCTTTTGGAAAATCTGCGATAAATATCGCTGGGTATTATGCAGCGCTTAGAAATAGTTTGCTGCAAGACAAAATATCTTATAAATCGTGGGAAGAAAATAGAGCTTCTTAGACTTTTGATTCGGTTTTTTTTAGTTTACTGTGCAATTTAGATTCTTTTCCTGAAAAGGAGAGAGGATTATCCTTTTCATTCTGCTAACATTTCTAAAGAACAGTTGAAGCTGCGATTAAATTAATTCGTCCAACTTATATCCATAAAGCTTGCTCAATATTGTTATTGCTCGTTTTAGTTTTCGAACTTTTACACCGATTTTAATTCATGTACAATTTTCATTTGGTTACCTGATCATTTTCTAGATCACTGCCTTTAATTTTCTGAATGTTTGTGATGTCCTAGATCTTAATCGGGAAATATCCAGCCACTACAAAAGGGAATCGTTGTGTAGAACGCATCTATGATCAGTACACAAGTATTTTCGCATTTCTTGTGTTGTCAGAGATTAATTGGGATTTTCCACGAGTATTACGAGCAAATGTTATGTACAAAAACTGCAACAGCTGAAGATCAAGCTCATATGATCTGCTAAACCATCTCCATCATTCTATTTTAATATCTTGTTGTTTCCTAATTTAAGATTCATATTTCATGCAGTTGTATAGCGAAGAGTGACCTTAAATATTCCTGGATGAAGTCGTTCAGTAAAAAATTTCTTTCATTACGGTTAATCATTTTTGTTGTAAAGTAGGTCACAGTCAAATATGAGAATTCCATCAGGATTTTCAATATTCTGAAAGTTGTCTAGCTTATTGGTGAGCTGCAGCGAATAGATTTTTTTGCTCTAGCTATTTGCTTTGGATATGTTTTCGATTCATGAACAATATCTCAATATTAAGAACTAACAGAAACGAGTGAAAATTTTCTCTTTCGTTTGCACCGAATTTCATGTAATGATTATTCAATTATCTTGAGTAGTCGTTAGTTGCGAGCATGATTTAAAAGTACCATTAATTGATTAGCTCGCGAATGGACCATATAGACTACTCCTTATAGTATTTCACGACGCTGTTCTGGTTATTATTAACTTATATCCTAAGGATGAATTTGAGCACTACAAATATTGACGCAGTATAAATCCAGTGGAGAAAAATACTGCATATTTTATCACTTATAGACTTTTTTACATTTTACATTTTTCTTAAAAAATTTCTTTTGCTACTGATTTTGAGATTCATTCAAGGACTAAGGCATTGTAAGTGAAGATTCTATTATCATTTTTCTTCCCATGGAAGTTATTCCCAGAAACGATGTACTTCTTGAAGTCATCGAGAAATCTTGATTTTCTAAAGGAGATTTCTAACAAAGTTGTTTTTTTCATCGTTTATTATATTTCATAAGCTGATGTGCTTTAAATGGAAAAATGTCATGTGCCTGATTTGGTACCACACTATTTATTCCACCAATGTTGTATTTAATATACGAGTATAAAAATGATGAGTGTAAAGATGATATATGAAGATGCGGCTTTATAAAGAGAAATTGATGAGTTGCAACTGTTGTTATCACGTGCTGCATTTTTGAAAGCGTTTATATGCATCTGAACTCTAGGATAGAAGATTGGCTTTCATCTTTAGATTAGATTTTATAATTTTGCACTCTTTTTGTAATGAGCAATGTGAATTTTATACGAAGAAGGAGAACAAAGATGGAGGAGGTCAAGTTTGAACATTTTGGGAAAATAATTAAAAACTTTTTGAAATACGTTAAGCAAGTGGATTAGCAGCATCTAGAACTCAAATTTAACTTTTAATATTCGATCTTTGGTGTTTAGAAAATTTGTTAAACTCTTATTCATATCAGTCAGCACAGTATAGTTGATCGGGAAGATGATCGGTTCGAAAGGCATGTTGACCAAATCGTCGGGCAGTTTTGAAACGACGACCGCTCCATTATATTTGATAGATCGAGTGCTGCTTGTACGGGTACAGATTTGTCCACGTGTGTATGTATATGTATATGTGTGTGGGTGTGGGTGTGCATGTGTATGTTTGGTCTTCGGATATATACGAAAATGAGCAATTAGGGGTGGAGTTATACAATTGACCATCGAAGCACCTACCATGCACAACACTTAGGCACCGCATATATAAATGCACTGCACCCGGTGAATGTTCCTAAGGTGTATGTATATGTATGTATGTGTTTGTGACGCGGGAGTATTATAAGACGAAGGAGAATGTAGGTAGTGTTTAACAGTCGTTTCTCGGATGCTGCATGATTAGCTTTTATCGTATGGATCCGAACCGTTCGTCAAAGACAGCGACCTTGATGTCAATGGTTGGGTAGTGAGCCCATCGTGGTATTTCTAGCTCATTTGCGTTACCTGCAGTTGGGTACCGGTATAATGATTTCTGACCTTAAAAATTGATTCCATTCCATTTCATATTGATTATCCAACCCATCATTTTAGCCATTAAAATGGAAAATTAACTGCTTCTAACATACACTATACCCTGTTGATTCAGACTAATTAACACCGCTCTTACAAATAGTGACATGCCGTAGGACAGTGTTATATTGTGAGGAATTCTTTTTTTTGAAAATTTTTTCATTTTATCTGTGAAAAAGAAAACTCTTACGTCGTTCATCGCTAGCTTGAAATTATTTATATGTAATTTTATAAAATTTGTTTTTTCAGGCTTGCTAAGAAAGTAAATTCACACAAACATCTGTACTTGTCTGGTTGCCACGTTATAGTGCAGCAATTTGTTTTTAAAAAACTCACTTGAAAAAAAAAAGTAAATCTGAAGCGATCACATTCACCGTGTGGGGGTCCGTCTCCGAAAATGGAGAACGGCAAATTGGCGGGCACCGAATCATTGGAATCAATTGAAAGTGGTAGTACCAGTTCAGCGTTATCTACGCGGACAGCGTCTAATGTTGTTGGAAATGAGCCGGTACGTACCCTGTTTGTTTCCGGCTTGCCGATGGATGCGAAACAACGTGAGCTTTACCTCCTTTTCCGATCCTGCCGGGGCTACGAGAATTCATTGCTCCGAATAACTCAATCTAAAGATGGTGGCATTGCGTCACCTGTTGGTTTTGTTACCTTTTCTAGCGTAGAGGATGCCGATATCGCCATGAAAGCCTTACAGAGCGTACTTTTTGATCCCACCACTGGCCACAAGATTCGTCTCGAAAAAGCCAAAAGTAACACGAAGGTATCAAAACCTAAGCAGATCTCTCCACCATTAGCAGTTCTTCCACCGCCAACCTCTGTTACCGCGGCAGCTTTTTCTCCGGGTGTACTGCAAGCTGCAGCTGCAGCCGTCGCAGCATCAGCAGCACCTTCACCACAATCAATTTTTGCACCACCACCGTCAATACCTGCTCCTACATCTCACCGACAAGATTTTATCAATGCGGCATGTATCAATGATCCACAACTTGCTCATATTCTTAACGAAAATCATTTCCTCCTGAATTCAGTACCACAATTTGCTGTGGCAGCCGCCGCAGCAGCAGCAGCAGCATCTCAACCACCATTTCTGTTACCCCCCGCTGCAGCCGCAATTGCTGCTGGTTTGCCATTACCTCCCGTTGGAGCTGCCAATGTTTCACCAACACATTTTTTGCAACCACACGCCGCAGTTGCTGCTCAATTAACAGCTGCTACGCATCATGTTACCGCTGCACAGTTGAATGCTGCAGCTGTAACATCAGCAAATGCAGTTGCAAAGGCTACAGCAGCAGTATCACCAGCATGCTCCACATTATTTGTAGCCAATTTGGGAGATGGAATCACGGAAGATGAATTGAAAGCTGTGAGTTTGTTTTACACTTCCTGCTCTATTATTTCACTGACACTGGTGAAACATTAATGGACAGGTTCATCACACATGATGGTTATTGATACAAAACCTGCCTAAGTGAGAAGTGACACCGAAGTGGACTGAACTAGATGTCATGTGTTCCTTTGACATCCACAATGAATATTGGATATTTGATGCCAAATTTAATCCATTATTTTAGTTCAATTAAGTTTTAGGTTCTAGAGTGTGGATCCTTCCCAGAATTTCCAAACTTACCGTTATATCAGTAAAGTTTCGACTATTCATACCTATCTGCATAAGATCGCTGAGAAGGAGACATTGTTATTATTTCGACTTACTGAAATAATGGCAGAATCTGTTCTAATCCATTATTTTGGAATTTCATATAGTGTGGAGGGTAATAAATGCAGTGATGCAATATGATCGTATATCATAGCATCTTGTCTGCCGGACATTGTAGGTATCGCCTAACTTGGGCAATTCGTTTAGTCGGCATATAAAAATAAAATGAATGAATTTTTGTGCATAGTTTTGCAATAGGAAGCGAAAATTGAATATATTCCATTATATTGGAGTATATTATGTTGTTAATATATTAATATTACTGTAGAACAAGTGGATCGTATATGATATATACATTCAGTCTTTGAAAGCGGTTAATATGATAATGAGGCGGCATTAATATTTAATCGGCAGTCTAATGAAGAAAGGAAAAATCAAAAAAGAGAATACTTGTTAGTTGTATTATTAATCAGTATGATTACTGATTAAATGCAATGATTCTCTTTCCTCTTCCTTTTTTTCCGATACTTGAGGATTTTGAAATACCATTTTCTTTGAGACAAAAGGTATGATTTTGTTTCTCTGTAAAATGGTATTCTCTATCAAAAAAAGTAAAGATAAAAATAATGAGTTAGAGTCGTATAACCATTGAAAAAAATAGAACATCAGAGACAGAATTGAATATAATAAATTAAGAAATAATTTTACATATCCCGAATCATTTTACTTCTATTACGAACCAGTAAATCAGGAGAATCAGTTGTTTTTTACTTGCTGCGTAGCTAATCATAGAAACAAAGCTGCTGACAGTTGAAAACAATGAGAAAATTTTCTTCATAGCAAATTATGTATGTGTTCTTCACATGCGCAGCATACTTCTACTATTTCCTGAGCATTTACTAAAATCGATCAAAACCAAAGCATTTTCCATTTTATGACACCTTTTCCAGAAAAAAAGACTTTGGACTTATTCCTTTTCTATTTGCTTTATATCATTTTTTCTATGCTTACTAGGGAGGGTTTTGCAAAAAAATGCTAAAAATTCTAATTTTCTGTTGCGCAGTAGACTCGAGTACCTTTAGCAATGATGTTGAAAAAAGCATGTTATGTAGAGATCATAAGAACACACTCGACAAATTGAAGTAATACTTCGAGATTGAAGTAGTTTTCTCATTCTTCTTTAAAAAGCCAACTTATGTTTTTTAGAGTCAGAAAACTTCCTCGATATCTTTAAAGTTTTTTTAAATAATGCGATGAAATTATGAGTGCTTTCATTGAAATAAAGCATGAAAAAGATACCTTCAAGAGTTTTTAATGTGTATGTTTTGGAATTTCCTTTTGAAGAAAAACTGAATGTGCAAAATTCATTACGGCCGTAAATCAAAATATTTTAAATTTTCTACTTTAATTTCTCTGTATCGGCATTTCTTACCCTTCAAAAAGTCATAAATTTGTTTTGCTACTTAGGAGACAAATTTTCATATGAATTCAATAAATTTTTCTAGTTCAGTTTTCGATTTCTGTTTTAAATTCATTCCATAAGTACTTCTCTAAAATGTAATTTCGATGGACTGGTTGGCTGAGATTGACTGTGAGTATGTAGTTAGCAGTCTAAATGGCCGAGAATTTTCATTTTTCTAGGTTTTCTGTGCTTATCCCGGATTTACACGATTACGGCTGCATACCAGAAATGACACAACTGTGGCTTTCGTTGAATTTCGAGATGTGCGACAGGCCACGTTAGTGATGAATGCTCTACAGGGTTGTCGTATTTCAAGCTCGCATCGTGGTGGTATTCGAATTGAATATGCACGAAATCGAATGGGAGACGTCACCGGTCAGTGGTAAGTATTTTGCTACGTCTATTGGGTTAAGGCTTGGTCTTATTTTTTTTAATTCGAAAACGTATCTGATTATCCTTTGCAAATTCTCTATGCTATTGCCAGCATTTTTGTCTTGACTAAATAGTAAATTAGGATGAATTGGAATTACAGTATAAATATAATTAACTTCTTGAGCCTCTTTTAGAGGACTGCTGCATGTCTTTTCATCACGAAGGGATTAGCTGTATTGAATGATTGGACAACTATTAAGTTGATATTTTATCTTCCCTTTTAATAAGTTATAAAGTCACAGAATATTTCATAATTTTAGGGAATATCAAAGAGGGAGAACTCAGTAATTGTCTTTTATCTGTTGAACACTTTCAGAAGGATGGAACATCAATAGACGAATTACTCAGGGCTTTGATCTCTTTAACGATCTTTCAGTATGTTGTAGATTTTCACATTCTTAAATTTTCCGTTTTGCAAACGAACTCAGAAAGGTATAATTCATCGAAATGATTCTATAGTTCCGGTGAGTCATGTTTTTGTTGCTAATAAATACGTTTTCAAATTACTAATTTTCGTCTCAATTTTTTTGTTACTTAGTAATTTGTTTCTTCGTTTTCCCATTAAAATACAAGCTTTGGAGGATAGTTTTGGAAGTCTAAAAGAGATAAGATTGATCCATCGTTTGCATTCAGGAATAAATTAAACCCTGATGTGTGTAAATTGAGTTTTGAAAGAATGTGCATATTTTCCTACTGAATTTTGTCTCTATGGATTATTAAAATACCTGAAAGTATTGTTGCTTTTTCTTTATTTACATTCTACGATGAAAAGATGTTTCATATGGAATTTAATGGATCCCTCATTTTCAAATAAAAAACTTCAGTAGGTTTATATGGATGTTGTTTTGTATACTTTCTATGCTTTTTTAATTTCACGTATTTTTCAAGTGAAGATAATATATGTTATATCCGATCCCTTTTACCGTTCTACTGAAATTTCGCAGCAGTGTAATAAAGTTTCCGATGCAATATTTGATTTTGTCTTAAATTGAACTTCGGAAATTTGTTAGCTGATAATGGGTTTCGTTCCGTATTATTTCCCTTTGGGGAAAATCCGATTAAAAAGTCATATCCATTAGTGATTGGTTCTTGGGTGGTCTTTCCAGCCACCAATAATCTCTAGACTCTTCGAACATCTAAAGTGGCTTTGATCTACGTGATCTCGAGCTGCAATTTTTCTTCTCATCTTCATGAATCTTTGTTGTTTTATCTCTTCTTTGTTTTACATATTCCCTCAAAGTAATAATAATAGCAATAATAATTATAATAAAACATAATAAGGATAGAATAGCATTATTGATTAAGCTGATTGTATTGTTGTCTTTTTATTTTGCACAATATTATAATAATTATTTATTGTTTTTTTTTTTTTTGTTAGTCGCTATTTTTGTAATTTACATCGAAGAAATTGACCAAATATTGTGCATTCCTTTGTTTTTTGTCTTTTAAATAGTTTGTGTATTTATGATTGTGCTTTTTTCTTGATTATTGTGTTTTTTGAATAATGAGAAATAGGGATGAAAGGAAGGATGGTCACTTATACTTGTATTAAGATTAGTGGGACTTATTGATTGGATTCATATTTGGCTATCTTCGTGATTCCAGGATTTCCCGAAATTCCTCTATGTCACTCAAAATCCTCTCGTTTATTTCTCAAATTTTATAGAAAGTATGAATGAAAATTCTCCCATCTGTTGTTTATTTCTCAAAACATTTCATTATTTTATCCACAAAATCATTCCTCAAATGTATTAAATGACACATTTGTATTGTCCTTTAAAATAAGATACTCAAAAAATGGCCGTAGAATGAAATCAGACTCACATAAGTGATACAAGAATATTTAAAGAAAAAAACTGGATAAGTTAACATATATTTAAATTGTTGAATTATTTATTCTGGAAAATCGGTAGAACTTCTCGTTTTTTGCTCTTCGTCCCTTTCGGTTTTTCATTTTTGACCTAAAACGAAGCCCACAAGTTTGAATTTGCGTCCACTTTGGAATTAATTATAATTTAGTTGGCTTCGTTTTTGTGAAAGTGCTCGTTACTTTGGCTATAAGCGTAATAATTCATCAGTATCACCAAAATCACTATTTGGAAATCGTGCTCAATCAAACTTTATCTGGATTTTGTCTCGATTTTGTCTTTTTGGATTATATCGCACCCATCCCATTTGTTGGATTTTGTTAGGATTTTCTGGATCTGAATTCCTCGGAGAATTTCTAATTTTTATTCATGCTATTTGTATATCAATTTTATTTTACTTATATATTGTATATTGGTCTCTTCACAAAAAATCCAACTCAGTTACATTTATTACATTCATATACTATTATTTTTTTGCTTGCTTGAATACGGGTTCCGGCGAGTTGTCTGTGTGTTATTGGCTCGAGGATTTTCAACTTTTAAAAGATCTTTCCGATGATATTTTTTTGCTCAGAAGTCTTTCAGCTGTATTTTTATGCGTGCTCTCACTATCAGCATTGACATTTTTACCTTGGACAATAAACTGCCATTTTAAATAATGAATATTTGAGAATGCATTTGACAACCACAATATTTCCAACAGATTACTTGGCTTTTGGGGCAACAAGTAAGCAGATGAAAGTAAATAAAAAACAAATTTGCAGAGCAGGTAAGAAATTTGCTGAACAAATAAGGAAGCTGATGAGCAATAAAATCGGTAAAACAAAGATACTTCATTATTAACATTACAGTGATTTGATGTAATTTTTTAAGTAGTTTTCGACCTATGATGCACTGCAACCGTCACCATAGGTAGTAGTTGAAGCGCACATTTTCACTTAAGCACTTCTATTTTTTGGATTGTAATTTGGATATGTTGCCTTGAAAAAAAGGAACAAACCTCGAGCTTTTTGTACAAGTTTTTTGAAATTTTGTGTTTCCTGATTTTGGTCTAAATCTCCCACTCTTACCTTTCGTTTTGCTATCATAGCTTTTTTGCAATCTATATCATTTGTATACAAAATTTCGTACATTCATATTTTTAAAATTTGCTTCATTTCTAGATTAATTTGATATCAAATGGTTTTTCCATTTTAGTGTTCAATACAGTAATATCGTGGTCACTTATTTTGAAAAGATGCTGAAAGTTACTGTGAATTTCTATGCTGGTTAACATATCCAGCAGTATATCAAAATTCTACAATAATTTTACATCATTTTTCGTTATTATCTAGGAGAAAAAATGGATGAATCCATGATCAGGAAATTCATTGCTACTACTTCTTGCTACTTTCTTTTTAAATTTCCATTTTTTACGCACTCAATTCACCGCGAGCACCGTATTCAACAGTGAAAGAAATGCATTGCCAGTTCACACCTGCTAATTTTATATAGTTTTATTGTTTTCTTTCGAATGTTGATTACTTTTTTTCTTTGTATCTCTTTTAATGCAGCTATTTTTTAGCTTCTTTAGACAATTGCATTGGCATGTTTGTAAAAGGCGCTTATTTGTAATGCAGTTTTGCTACGCACATAAGAAATTTTATTCTTTTTGTTTACTTTTTCAAATTTCTTATTTGCGAGCAAATCGGTTTCGATAACACGTCTCTATTTGTCGTATTTCGTCAATTCATAATTTTTCGAAATTTTTCCTTTCGTTTTTCCTATTGTGAACAACAGAAATTTTTATATTGCAGCTGCTAATTTCAACAAACTGTTAGATTGTTTAAAGTTTAGTTTATTCGCATATTTTTGCATTTAAATTATTTTCGACTATTTTTTTCCTTGAAATTTGTATTCCCAGCAAAGATGGTTGCAAAACTTCTAGGAAATTTTCTATTAAAAGTAAGAGATCCTTTTTTTATTCGCTTACAAAATTTACGGCATAATTTGTCAATGCTTATTGCATATATATATATACATCTCCCATGCACACATCCTTACACAACACTTTTCAATAATTGTTGCTACTACGAATACCAACCACTTCACTGTTTGTGAAACATTTAAATGATATTCCTTTTTTTCCTTCACTATTCGAGCTTTTTATTCCTTTTTTCAATTTTATATGAATATGTTTGATAGATCACAACATATCGAGTAATTTAAGCAGGACCTTTTTTGAAATTCTTTTAATTGAATATCTTTTCTTAATGCAATAATTAAATTCTTCCAATCCCATTTTGCTTATCGTACAAAAATATTTCCTTTTTTTGCATCCATCTCTATAAGCGCAAACATACACATATGCATTGTCACCGTTCTTATCACAAGTTTGATTGTGTTCACTGAATTTTACTCATTTACAGAAAATAAAAGATGTATATTTTGACAACTAGCAGTTTTTTGTGGGCATGTTCAATTGCTTTCCTATACTTATGCGCAATGCAGCTTAACAAGACAGATGCAGTAGTTGTAATCTTGTTCATCTGAAAATTCCGAAAGTTTATTATCATTGTATTACACAAGAAGTATTTGCGGATGATGATTCCTTCAGCCGTCTAAAAAAATACACAATTGAAATCCTTTAACTTGTATATTTCAAGATATTCGTCAAATCTTGAGATAAATGAATTTTGTCGCTTCGAAATTTTGAAAACTCGTTGGGAAATGATCGACGATAAATTTTTAAAATCAACAAATTGTTTTGAAAGATGTTTTTAATAAAGACAAATGCAAAGAGTTCTGAAATCAATTTACGACGGAAATTCTTTTACATTGTTTAGGTTAATTGCCTGAACTAACAAAACATTCTTAAAAATGAAATGTTTATTAATTATTATTAGGTGTATTTGTTATTTGTTAAACTCTTCCCCTGCATTTCTGCAAAACTCATTGTTTACCAACGTATGATATAATTTTTCTTGAGTTATTGACTTTAATTAATTGATAGACCTAATACACCTGTAACTTATTATGATATGCAATAATTTTGGCATCCAAAAAAGCATTTCACATTTTCAGTGTTTCCATTCGGAATATCAATC